TGGGTGTGTTGAACGAAAACGTCGTCATGTGGTTAAAGCTAGCTTGGCACTCGCTTAATCATACATACGTTCCTTTACGGTATTGGACATATGCCTTTGTTACTATTGTTTATATCATTAACCAACTTCCAACACCAATCTTATCTCATCGGGATTTGTATACTATTTTATTTCAATAACCTATTGATTATGATTTTTTAAAAAAGTTTTTTTAATGTTTGTTATCATTGGTTAAGAACTTATGCCGCAAACAAATTAGCCTATCGATCTCGGTAATGTGTTTTTCTAGGTTAAAGCAAAATTCATAGAGGTTAATTTTGTATGGATATTGCTATCGAGAAAATTTATTTCTCACATGTTAATTTTTTGAATAGGAGTTTCCATTTGTTAAGAATAATGCTAGCCACTTTCAATAATCCACTCGTAGTTTGCTTTTCAACTCAATCCCATGCCAAATCCAAATATGTTTACTTCCAAACCTACTATGGTTGCTTCTTCTTCGGTGCCTTTTGCTAAATTCAATTCTCTAATAACTCTGCGGCTATCTCTAAGATGCCCAATCTTTTGAGCTTGCCGCTCATCTCATTTTAGACTTCGTAATCCTATCTAGTTCATAGCCCATAACCTAGTCTCGGTTTTAATATGTGTTTATGGAGATATGTGTATGACTAAAATAAGACATATCATTCCTTGTATGGAAATGAGTTTCCTAATTTAGGTTAAAGGGTATTTTGAAAAATTGCTTCCTAATGTAGATATGCCTAAAATAATCTAAGATTATTTATTTAGATAGTCCAAATAAATAAATTAGATTAAAATGATTTTGGCCCATTAGGTTTAATTAAAAGCCTTTAGATATTTTAGTGGGAGGATAAAAATCAACTTTATTGGATAAGGATGAATGTTTTAAAGATAAAGATAAAAAAGTTCACATGTAAAAATAACTACTTGTTCTAGGAGGAAAAGGAAACTCTCCCCTATAAATAGAAAGAGAGGTGTGGCATAAAGAGTAAATTGATTGGGGAAAAAAATTCATCTACAACCGAAAAAGGCCACTAAGGCACACGACAAGAAGGAAAAAGAGAGGAGAAAATAGTTTTTTTCAAAACTTTAGCATGCCACACTCTTTCCTTCTCTTTTAAGGCTATAACAAAATTACCCCGATTAGATTTCTATAGGAAACGCAACACAAATCAAAAAAAGATAGAGCTGGCACCCTATCGATTTTGAGTGCTTCTTTATAGATAATTGGATTGCGTGGATCATCAATAGAGGTCGAATAATTGAATGGCTTTTCCGATAAAAAGAATTTAGATCTCGTGCTTCAAGAGGCAATTCTTATTCATTGTTTTAAATTCATGCATATATGATTAGTAGATTCAACGAGTTTGATCTTGGGCCATTTGATGGAGGATAGTTTTTTTTATTTATTCCACACTTTCATAGGATGCATGATCCTTCATCCGAACCATCCCATTTCACGACCTCCAACCTAAAACACTTCTATTCTAGTAGGTGATCCACTTCTTAAGCCTATATCCTTGGGACATTTCACATCATAAAGAGCACCCCATCCGTCTTATACCATATTCCCACAAAACTAACCGATCCGTCTACTTTGTCTCTTGTTTAACTTGTAAGCCCTCTTCGCCTACTGACTATAAGTCTTCTCACTCTTTTATCCTTGCACGAACCACAATCCATGTGTCTTCTCTATGACTCACGTATCCTTGAGTCGATCCTTCTACACGCCCTCTAGTTGTTCGTCCGGTTCACCATTCCGGTTCCTTCACTACCTAGCCATCTAGTCGGCGTCATTCCTTGCTCACCAAATCCAAAACGAGGAACTTAAAACAAAAGGCATTTGTTACTCCTATTAGTCAAATTTTGGAACCCTAGTCTTACTCTCAAGCTATCAAACATGATCATTGACGAAAAGTGATGGAAGAGGAAATTAATGCATTAATCATTAATGATATATGGGTCTTGGTCCTAGTGAATTCCTCCCAAAATGTGACGAACTCGTAAATAAGTGTATTGCACTTAAACAATAAACCGATGGCATTATTGAATGTTACAAAGCTCGACTTATTGCTAAAGGTTTTCATCGGAGGCTATTTTAGACTACATAAAATTTTTTCTCTAGTCACTAAACTCGCACCTATCGGACTAATCTTATTGCTTACTATTTCTAAACATTAGGATATAAAGAAACTGGATGTTTCTAATGTTTTTCTTCATAGCATTCTTGATGAACAAGTTTTTTATGACTCGACCACAAGGATTTGTCGACCCTACTAAACCAAATCATGTTTATCAACTAAAAAAAGTCTTTATGGTCCTAAACAAGCACCCTACTCTTGGTTCCATAGCCTCTCTAATGCATTAATCAATCTTGGTTTTATTGGCTTTAAGGCCAACTCCTCACTTTTTTCTTATCGGGAAGGAAACATTCATGCTTATTGTTGATGTATGTTGATGATATTATCTTGATTGGGAGCTCCTTATCTTTTCTCTCATCCATTGTTCGTTGCTCTCAAACACCTTTTTCCACTAAAGGATTTTGGATGCTTGTACTATTTTTTTGGCATTGAAGCAACCTAGACTAGAAAGGGTCTTATTTTAGCCTAATGCAAGTACATTTATGACATTCTTCTTTGATCTCGTATGCATGATAATAATCCCATTGTCACTCCTCGTTTGTCCTAAGCTCCGTCTTAAAATGACTATAGAAGAGCCGTTTTATGATCCATCTTTTGTACCATAGTATTGTTAAGAGTCTTCAATGTTTGACAACCATTTGCCCTAATGTTTCTTATGTTATCAACAAGGTTGCTCAATTTATGCACTCTTTTATAATCGATCATTGCGAGACCATATAACGGATTTCGCATTATTTAAGAGCCTCTCGATCACATGGCTCTTCATTTGCCCTTCATCGACTCGCATATATTTGCATATAGTAATGTTGATTGGGCAAATAGTATTGATGATAAAAAATCTACAACTTGGTTATGTTATATTTATTGGCTTTAATCTCATTTCATAGAGTTCACACAAGCAATGCACGGTGTCAAAATCCTTTACTAAGGTTGAATATAGGATTTTATCTATTGTTGTTTACGAAGTTCTTTGGTTGTACTCTCTACTTTATGAATTACATTTGGCCTCCTCCATTACTCCTATCATATAGTGTGATAATTTGAGTGCTACATATCTCACGAGTAATCTAATTTTTCATTCTTGATTCAAACATTTGAAAATTGATTTCCATTTTGTTTGAGAACGTGTTGGTACGGGAGACTTATTGGTTCGTTATATTTCTACCAAAGATCAAATTGCTTGATCGCCTCATAAAAGCTTTGTCCGGACAATGTTTCTAATTTCTTCGTAGTAAGTTTACAATTCGATGTTTCCCTGTACAATTTGAATAAGGGTAATAAGATAACAAACTTGTTATCATATGATTTCAACTAGACTAAGAATTTAGTATTCAAATTACTTGTTATCTCCTAAGATATCAAATAATGATAGGATTTTTCTTTTCAAATATTTAAATTATGCACTTGTACCTTATATCACAAAGTGTGGAATTCAACACAATATTAACTTTTTCAAAAAGGACATCACATTAATGTAATATATTAAAAAATAAAAAAATGCTTGGTGACACTATGGTGACATACACCATTTTCAAAAATAGGAAAGATTTAGAGATAAATTTGAAAAGTGAAAATATTAAATGACATAATACCAATTGAAATAAAATACTCTTTCTTGTATTCCTTCAAAAAAATATCATCCTTATAAAATTATGATGATTTTTTTTTTATATTACTGATATCATGTATCACTACTCTAAAAAAACATGGACATTCTTTGTTTAAAAGAAACATATTATCTGTTAGCATTTAAGATGTTTCGGCAGGAACTTTGAGATATTCGTGCACAGCAAACCTCCAACACGTGCCTCCATCATATATACATTGAGAAATATCTGGTAATCAGGGAACTAGATTTTAGTTCATTCAACTATTAATCTTTTTAATGAAGACTTCATTATTGACTATAACAGCCTCATTATCAACCGACCATATAAATAAAGTTTTTTTTTCTTGGAAAATTTTGATTTCCATTAAAATTTTTAATATAAGGGGATAAGAAATAGTCTCTCTGATTAGAATTTTTTTTATCGTCTTCTTATTTTGGTTATAATTTTCCCACATATTTATTATTATTTCAGATTAAGAAAGGAAGAATTTTTAAGGAAATTTTTTTCTTGTATATAGAAAACATATTCAAGGTTAAAAAAAGCTCACACACAAAAAGCAATCTCGATCTACATAAAAGATGCCGTGGCTACCTTACGTTTTATACATTTACCATGTGGCATTGTAACATTCATTCCCAGTTGTGAACATATTTTATGTATACAATGAACGCAATGGTCTACCTAAATTCCCATCCAATTACCACTTACGGTGACCCCGAATGACTCAATTAATTTTTAGATTTCCCATGATTGATCACATTTAATAATTAAATATTACATTCCCAAACAACTGTCAAATCTTTCCAAGGAAAAGATGACAAGATATATATATATATATTGATTCTCTGATAAAACAATATCAAAAAAAGGTTGGCCCATGAGAACTTCTCTTCCTCTCTGCGTGGCAAGAAGAGCAGAAAGCACGTAATCCAGCAAGTCCCTTGCATTCCAGTCCCTTTGACCGACTACTTTGCTTCTTGTTCTTGCTGCTTTTCTTTCTTTGCCACTCACAAACCACATACATACATATATACTCCCACTGATATATTACATAGCACATACACAATATCCCTTACGTTACGTTACCTTACCTGACCTTACCTCCCCTTCTTTACCAGTTCGTTAATTGAGATTCAGGTGATACAAGAATAAAGCTTATAAAATATAGATATAGATAGATACCTGGCGTTGAAATTAATTTCACCTTACCAATTGCCATGCTAGCTGCTTAGTTAAGACCCAAACTGAGGGCAGCCTTAACGTCAAGCCTCCATGCAAACCCACCAAATTCCATCTTCTGCACATCACAGGGAACCATCTGTGACTGTGAGCACTTCTCCATCTGCCACGTATGCTGTAATCTAACCCAGCACGTAAATGCAGAACCATAAAGACACGCCAAAAACTTCTCTTTAATCACCAAATCTACGCTAACCTCCGGCGACCGTCCCTCGTCTTCCTGCCTTACCATCACCATCTTCTTGTAGGCATCATTAACCCACAGTACCCAGTTTAAACCATCCGATATAAATCCGGGACTCGTGTCCTTCTCTAGATTTCTCATTTTCTCCACGTCCGTACTACCCAGTAACACCATATCCATGCACGTGTCTGTCACGCTCTCCACTGTCACCCGCGTCTCCACTATCCTCTTTCCGTTCGTCGGATCTGACATTCTTAAACCACCCATATCATCAATCAACTGGTTATTGATGTCAAATAATAAATCCTTATGCTTTTCATGTTGCACAACTGGGACTGAAAGACTAACAATATCATTGGACAAAGGCCGCTTTTCTGGTATTGGATCAATCGTTTTCTCATCAGGAATCAACTGCAACGTTAGCTTGAGACCATGATCTTCTCTTTCTCTTTCTTGATCTGATGATATAATTGGCATCATCTTTTTCTTTCTAGTCCGCTGATACTGTTCTTTACTATTATTCTTCTTCTTAACCCTAACGTACTTTCTCTTCTTTCTTTCCTTACTAGCCAAACCAGTCTTGATCTCTGGCTTGCAGTTACCATAACTCGAATCTCCTGTGACCGGTTTTGGAGCAATCGGCCGGAATCTGAGCATTACCCGGTTGATTATCGTCTTATCTTTAACACTGGAGGAGCAAGCTTTCACGCGCCATCCATCTCCACCATCCATATCTCGTCTTCCGCCACCTCTTCCGCTCTCTCTCACCCGCACAATCGCTATCCTTTTTGTCTCTCTGTGTCTGTGAGTGAGTGGGTTCTCACTCTCAGACGATAATCATACAAGGGCATCACGGTGGCTAGGTCTACATGCACCACGTGTCTAGAGCTACCCGCAACACAGTGAAGATACCTGATTGGTGGATGCGTCTTTTCGTGGGACCCATCCAAGAGACCAGCATTTGAGTTTCTTTATTGAAAATCATCCAATACGAGATGACGATGTGTCGATGTTTCCTTGAAAGAATATGACACGTGGGGTTTGTTTTTGGATAGCATTAAAAAGGCGATGTTGGAGGTGGAATTGGAGTTTTTTCGGGTAGCTTCGAGAAATTGCACACGTGTTTCCATCCTATTTACTTGGAAGTTAGACAAGAAATTTGGATTAAACAGCTGACTTTTTTTTTAACTCTCCTCCACTCTCTTGATTTAATGCGTGGGAATTTTGCTTCAAAGAATCTTGCCAATTTTTTTTTTCTTAAGTGAAAAATCCTCAATGTATTTTCCTTTTTAATAGGAAACACACGTGGACTTTCGCTTTCAAATTAGGATTTGAAAAAAACTTGAGCCATATAAAAAGAAAAAATTGGGATAATTTTTTTAATGTTACTAAAATGACCTCTTGAAAAGCTGCAAAACCCAAATACAATAGGGTTATTTTGGTGATTTTCGTTTAAAAGTAAAGAAGAGTTTTTTTTTTTTTTTTTTTTCAAATCTAATCTAACTTCCATGTTTTCTTTTTCCTTCCACGTTTTTATGCACAAATAAAACTAAGAAATTAGTATTTTACAATTTTTGTTGTACATCATACTTGTTTTGATTATCTAAAAAAACAGGCTGGTTGTAAACAAAGTAGGACTTCAACATCCGCCTACCAACTTTATTATTAAGAATTCGAATAATATTATCAATCCATAAAAAGAACATTGTGAACTATTATGAAAAAAATATTATTAGTTTTAAAAAACCTAATAAAATGAATTTTTTTTTGCTTTATTTTATTGTTCTACTAAATACATTTTTAATAAGTATAATAAACAATATTTAAAAAAAAGCATGTGATTATTAATTGATATGATTGAAAGATAACCTTGACTGCAGGTATAAAATATTTTATTATAATCACAGTTATGATATAAATAACATATATGTTATATATATAAACAATCAAGATATATAATGTTATTAATCATAATTACTAAGTATATATATATTGGAGATGTAATACTATATTTTATGCTAAAAGAAAAAGCATCAAAATTAATTTTTGGGTCAATAATGATTGCATTGCAGTCTTCTTGACATGAGTGATACCAAAAATATAAATATGGGCAAACTTTATAACGCACATAATAAAATCAATATCATTAAAAACTACCTTTTAAGAACTTCTTAAAGCTTTAATTCTAAGGGAATTTTATTTATTTATTATTTTTGGTTTGGGTACAATCTAATGAACCCTTAACATATGACTAACAAGCATTTTAAAAGCAATAAATTTTAAACATAGCATTCTGGAGCTAAAAATAGATTGCAAAATAAATTCTATAAATCATACGTAGCATTTGTAGGACGGATTTTCAAAAGCTTGCATTAAAATAAGTAAACATATATACATTCCAGTGTAGTGCGTGTGGATAGATGAAAATATTAATTACCAGAGCTGGCTATGACCGAGTAATTTTATAACTAGATGGTCATGTATAGTAGTTATTTTATGGATTTATTTTGAAGAGAGAGATAGACATAAAAAAAAAAAAGAGAGAAAATAAAAAAATTTAAACAGACGTGAAAATCTTACTTATCACTTTTAATGAGATATAAATGTAATTTTACTATTTTTTTATGTATCTATTTTTCTCTTTAAAGTAAATTTATAGAGTAAGCTATTATACATGACATTAATTGCTTCATGGTGTATGACCTATGGTTAGCAAGCGTTACGTGTAAGTGTGGTCCACGCACTAGGTCTGAGGTTGGGGTAAGGTCCCTTTTCCTTAAATTCCATGACTGTACGATGAAGACGCGTGGATGGTCGGAAGACGAATCAGATCTTACGAAAGATATCGTGAAAGGAAAAGTCGTTTTCGTTTCGATGGGTTTGGCTCCTCTGGTCCAGTAGTTTGCATCCTATGTCCACCAATCACGTTTCACACTTTGTCAGTCCACATCATGTCAGAAAGGACATATCGATTTTTTTATTATTTTTGCCCTTCTACCTGTTTAAACATGATACGTTGAGTTCATTTCTCGTTTACCGGGCAGCTAAAGCTGTTTGTCCTTTCAAACGGTGAGTGAATAAGGTTTAACTAAGAGCGTGCAATCGATCTTTCATCCGATTTCGATTTATTTATTTATTTATTTTTAGATAATCAAATTTATATATAAAAAAATCAAAATCGAATCGAATTAAGGTTTAATTTTTTGATTAAAAAATTAAAAATTTTGATTCAATTTTTCGATTAAAACCGATTTTTTTTTTCTTGAAACCAACCTGGCAAACATTTGCGTTTGTAATATATACGGTGGAAACTGCGAAACTATGTAGCATGAAGCAGTGGCCATTTCCAGCAATTTAGCAGCAGTATAACAGTGACCACTTGTCATAGGAATTGTACAATAAATTATAAATCATTTAAAAGCCATGGATCCAGGGGCGGACCTAAGTACAATGCTACAGGGGCCTAGCACCCTTAATTTTTTTCCCTCATGGAACACCCCATCCCATATTCTTTAATCATTTTTTTTTAAATTTTATCACAATTCTATTTTTAACATGATACCATTCTAATTCATACTTCAATTGAAATTTTAATTAATCTATGGATAAATGAGTGTATTTTTATATAAAATAATTAATTTGAGGGTTTAAATAAGTGTAAAAATACACTTATTGCTACAAAAAAATATTTCCTGTACACAAAAAAATTCACCTAAGTTCATAGAATATTCCTATACCTTCTAAATGATTTTTCTATTCCCATTGGATAATTTTCAAACACAATTAACATACTCAAAATAAATTAATTTGCAAGAAAAAACACGATTTATGTATCGAAAATATTCACCGAACATCAGAAAATTCATCCAATGGCACACAATAATCGGCATCACTCTAGCAAATATGCTATGCAAAATTAACATTTTTCATGCACATTTAAAATACTCAAAATATTTATTTTGCATAAAAAATTACTATTCATGCATCGAAAACCGGATAAAATATTCACCCGAGTACTGGAAAAATTATCCTAAGCACATCGAATATTCTAGCATCCTCATGGCAACCATCTTATGCCTATAGAATAGTTTTCATGCATCCTTAATATATTTTTAATTCATTTAATAATAGGATTGAGATATTACAAAATGGTTGGGGATACTCGTTGGAGTTTTCTTCTAAAATCTGTTTTTGGTTTGACGAATATGTTTAGTGCAATTATAGTTCGAGCATTATTACAAAGTTGATATATTTAATGCTATGATAGATTCTCAATTGCAAGAACTAAATAATAGATTCAATGATCACACGATAGAGTTACTCACTCTTAGTTCGGCTTTAAATTCTAGAGAGATATGCATATCATTTAGGATTGATGATATTTGTAAGTTGGTGTAGAAGTTTTATCTTCAAGACTTTGTTGATCACGGAATACCGCAATTAATGATGCAATTTGAGTATTTTGATCATGTATGAAATTTTTCTAATTTTGAAACATTATCAACTATATATGATTTGAGTTAATGGTTGATGAAGACAAGAAAATTTAAAAATTATCCATTAGTGTATAGAATGATAACGAGTTATTCTTAGTCTTTCAGTTTCTACGGCTATCACAAAACAATCATTTTTATCTATGAGCATAGTTAAGACTAAGCTTTGTTACAAGATGAAATTTAACTTTCTTTTCGATTGTTTCTTAGTATATATTGAATAAGAAATTGTTGAAAATTTTAATATAAATTCACTTATAGATAATTTTCATGATTTAAAAGAACGAAGATCTCTATTTTGAGATTATTTTAAAATATATATATTGGTATGTTATTTATAATATATATAAATTTATGTAAATCATGACAAATTTATAAATATTTATTTTGATACCAGTGGACATTTGGTCTTGCGTACGTCATTGCTTGTACCCCTATATTTTTGGACTGCAGTAGCAAGAATAATCTTGAACGCCAAACTTTGCTTAGATCCACTAATCTGCTCACAAATTGTGATGCCCAAAATGATGAAAATTTTTAGTTTGGGATGTTTCCCGAAGCCTTCACAAATCATGTTGCGGAAGCATCTTTCATTGATAAATATTTCTATTGTCTTTGGTGGGGATTGAGAAACTTAAGGTATGGTTTGTTTTTTGCCTCTCTTTTAATTCCTCAATTAATCTGATCTTGGATCTAGCTATTTCCTATTCTTTTTGTTAGTTTGTTTCTGGTTCTGGCTACCACTAATGCTGAGCAACCAAAACACAAGACCAAGGATCATTTTTCCTTCTATTTTTATTTTTTGAGATAAGCTTTTCCTAGTTGCAAAACTTTTTCACTTCAAGTTCTTTCGAGCTTACAAGTTCTGTAATACAGATAGTTTTGTCTTTTGAAGTTAATTTGGAATAGATTTTAGTTAAGATTTTCTATAGCAGTTCCTTAATGTAAGCATTTAACAAGTATGCCAAGGATAAGTTGTCTTGGCTTCCAGAGATTAAGAATTTGGTTCAGTGAAAAACAGGACAGCAATTTCACCTGGTTTCCTTAAAACTTTGATTTCTCTCCCTGCACTCCTAGCTAGCTGACTTGATGACAAGTATGGACAAGATTTGATGACAAGTATCTACGAGGGCGAAACATTATTCAGCATTGGAATTATCATTATGGGTCTAGTTCTGTTTTCACATCTCATAGGCAATATGCAGGTATAATAACTATGTATCTACATGTGCATAAACTTTATTGTATTAATGACTAATGTTTTCTTTTATCTTCTTTTATCTGCTTTAAATAAAATTTAAGAAGATAATATTTTCAAAAAGTAGATTGGAAAAAAAAAAGTAGAGGAAATCACTGTTGTTTTCATTTAAAAAAGTAATTCTATGACCACAATTTAATTTTCTGTTGTTTCCCTGCAGACCTATATGCAATCCGCGACTGCTAGATTGGAAAAGTGGAGGATTAGGCGAAGAGACACAGAGGAATGGATGAGGCACCGTCAACTACCTCTAGAGTTGCAAGAACGTGTTTGCCATTTCGTTCAATACAAATGGTTAGCTGCAAGAGGTGTAGACGAAGAAAGCATCTTGAAATCCTTACGTATGGATATCCGACGTCAGATTCAACGGCATCTCTCTCTGGCTCTTGTTCGACGCGTGAGTTTTCGAAATTTGATGCCCTCAAGTAATGTGAAATTGCTAGTATTGCGGTCTGAAATTTTATAATTCTGCTGTTTGTTCCTCAGGTCCCATTTTTCGCTCAAATGGACGATCAACTGCTAGAAGCAATATGTGAGCGTCTTGTGTCATCTTTGAACACCAAAGACACGTTCATAGTCCGGGAGGGTGATCCGGTAAACAAGATGCTTTTCATCATTAGAGGACAGTTCGAAAGTTCGACAACAAATGGTGGAAGGTCAGGATTTTTCAACTCGATCACACTCAGGGCTGGTGACTTCTGTGGTGAAGAATTGTTGACATGGACTCTAATGCCAACCTCTCTCCTGAATTTACCTGTATCCACTCGAACTGTGAAGGCTCTCTCTGAAGTGGAGGCCTTTGCTCTTAGAGCCGTAGACCTCAAGTTTGTTGCTAAGCAATTCAAACGGTTGCATAGCAAGAAATTGCAGCTTGCTTTCAGGTATTACTCTCATCAGTGGAGGACGTGGGGAGCTTGTTATATACAATCCGCATGGAGGCGATACACAAGGAGAAAACTACAAATGTAATTGGCTAGGCAAGAGAGCTTATTTTATTCTCAAGTTTTGGATGGAGAGGTGGAATATTATTACAGTGATGAAGGTGGTGATGAAAGATCATTAGTGGATAGTTCAAACAGTGGTTCGCATCTTGCAGCAACCATGCTTGCTTCAAAATTTGCTGCAAATACAAGAAGAGGAGTTGGCCATCATAAGCTTTCTAGGCCCGATGATTCCACCTTACAAATGCCCAAGTTTTTCAAACCAGAGGAGCCTGATTTTTATGCAGAACATGAAGATAATTAATTATTATTAATGCATTCTGTCAGAAGATAACTACATAGTCAACATCATCAGAAGTTTATAAGCGTTTGCCCATATTTGGTCCTTATAAAGTTTCAATTTTTTTGATTGAAACCCTCTAGATTTTTAAGCTTAATTGAAATCTTTTTACTCTTACAAATTTATTGATTTAAACCCTTTATTAACTATTCGAGTTGACGTGATTAAAAATGATGGTAACCAATCAAGTACTAACACGTGGAAAAACGGGCCCTAAATGTGAGATTATAATTTTGAAACTAAAAACTAATAAATTTAAAAAATATTTATAATATTAAACTAATGTTACTATATTAAAATGAAAATAAAGAGACAAAAATGCCCTTATGCTTGCTATACCACCTAGACCTAATTTCTTTTGCATTTTTTAGCTCTTGTCCGGCAAACTCAATTCTTCGGATTCTATCATTTTTTCTATCTCAAAACCCATTGATTCTAAAATCTCTAAATCCCTAAGCGACCTCTAAATCTCATTAACCCAATACGAATTATGTTTGTTTAGTGATTATCATTCGAGTGTGAATGCAAGAAAGAGGAAGAAGAATCGAAACTTGGGTTTGAGAAAACACTAAGGAAATAGAAGGGTAAGAGAAACGAGAGAAAAAAGAGAAAAAACATAGCCGATATCAATTTTATGTGCAAAACAACATGCAAAAAAATCCCAAATCTATCATGTCAATTCATCTCTTAATGATTCATACACTTTCTCATTATCCAAATAAAATCTTAAAATTGACCAAATCATAATAAACGAAAATCAATCCGAGTTTTAAAACAAGAGTCATTCATTCATTCATTCAAAATAATTAACAAGAGTCATTCATTCGAAACTCAATCCACCTAGTACATAAATTGTGAGAAAACCCTAAATGAAATCCCTTAACAACCGAAACCATACAAAGTGCGACCTTGCCTCTTCAAAGCATAAACGACATCCATAGCGATCACCGTCTTTAATCTCTAGTTTCTCATTTTCCTCTACCTAACATTTTTTCCTTTCTCTTCTCTTATTTTTTTTCCTCTTAATTTCTTGATGGGATAGAGTAAAAGGATATTTTTTTTTTGCTATTTGATCCGATGAGCTTGATTAGGTTCAAAATCCCGAAGATCAAAATCGATGGACTAAAGAATGGCATCGCGATAAATTTGGATAGAGCGAGAATTGATAGGAGGTCTTTCCATTAGGAGAGAGATGGTTTCGAGATGATAAAATCGAAGGAGATGATGTTTAGGTTGTGAAAAAGGAGGAGGAGGTGCTACTGCGGATGCAAAGAAGGAGGAGGCGAAGGCAAGTGAGGGACATGAAGATTTAGAAAACTTAGGGTTTTGATAAAAATATGAGAAGCAGAAGAAGAAGTGAAGATATGAGAGGAGATTGTAAGGAGAGAGAATGGGAGTATATGATATTTTCTATGGATTTAATTAGGGATAATAGGATGAGGATACATTTGTCTTTTTAATTCATTTTTTAAATTCTAAACATTAGCTTATTAGTTAAAAACATTTTTTTTTAATTTCGGACTCGGACTCTATTATATAAGACCCACTATGCCACGTGTCCATGCCTAATTGGATACCATTAGTTTTAAATTGTCATGTAGGATAGATATTTAATGACGTTATAACGGAGGGTCTTAATCAATAAATTTATAAGAGTAGAGGGTTTCAATCACGTTGAGAAATCGTAAAGGGTCTCAATAAAAAATAAAATAAAAAAAGGCTTAGGTCTTTAGATCGAAGTCAACAAAAAAAAAAATGATTATATATGAAGAGAATGAAATAGGTGTACATACCACTATAAAGGCTCCTAAAAACATATAACTAAAACCTTCAATAGAAACTAAAAATCCAATATCTAGATCTAAAAATTAAAAAACTATTGTATAAGTGAACAATGTAGAATACCGGAGTTTGGTGAACATTACACTCTTAGTGTTGTAATAACTCATTTTGAACCTCCGTTTATTCTCATACAAAATTAAAATTTTCAAAAAAAAAAAAAAAAGAACTTCAAAAATAGAATGTTGCATAGTTTGTCTTTTTTTTTTTTTAATGATTTTAAGACATTTTTATAAATTTTTAGGATTTTAATTTCTTAGAATTATTCTCCATTTTTAATTAAAAAATAATAAATAATAAATAATAAAAATATTGAGAAAATGATTTGGGATCTAATTGAAAATGATGTGAAAAATAAGGATCAAGTGACATTCAATTACGCATGTAATTGAAAAGGGATAAAAATCAAGAATGTTCATTGAGAATTAATTAGTGTGAAATTAAAAGAAATCGAGAGAATATGGATTAAACAATTTCAATGAAAGAGCTAACTCGGAGAAAAAAATAATGAAACATATATTGAAATTGAAAAAAACAAACCAAGGAAGAATCAAAATTAGTTTTATCCCAAACCCTAAAGAATCTCTATATAAACACCCTTTCACTTCATTTTTTAGTGGAGCCTCTATCACCCATCTTTCATCATAAAAACAAAAGCCATAATTATTCCCCTACCCTAAAAACCCTAGCCTCCATTACCCATCTTCCTCCCAAAAATAACTTAGCCTCCATAATTCAACTATCACAAAACAATCTAGCCATAAATACACATCACACTTACCAAAAATAAAAAATAAACAACAACAACAACAATAATGGTAACAACTAACCAAAATGTAGAAATTTATTATTCATCATCTCTCTAAAAAATTTGCATTCACGGATCCCAAGAGAAGAAAAAAATTCTACCAAATAGCCCCTGAAGAGATTGCCAATTCGGATCATCCGCAGGTCGGATCCGTTTACCCACTAGTGTTCCCCCTCAAATCGGTCGTCATCCGATTGAAATTGCCTCCAATCACCACCATCTATCGATAGCCCACCACTATATCCATAATTTTTTATTGGTTAAGGAGGAAGAAGACGTCAAAGGAGGCCAAAATAAAAAAGAAAAGGCCGACAACCCGACCCAGCTTTGAACCCATAAATATCAACATTTTTCGGCCAAATCAAAAACTCTCACCACCACGAAACACTCCTCACCCTCCTGAAGGTGTTTTCCCCAAAAATTATAGCTTAACATCATCGAAAAATTATGAATCGACGCCAAGGTCCGATCCCGACCCCTTTTTGGGGATCCGGACTAATAAACCGATCAAGGTCAAATCAATCCTCCCAACCACTTTAGATATGTTCCTTGTGATTCTTTGAGTAGTTTGGTTTCCTTTCCATTGATAGTTGTGGCCGAAATCATTGTAGAGAAGAAGAAGGAAAACGATAGTCGTGGTCGAATCTTCATCGATTCCAATCTCTATCCTCTATCAATGGCCATGGTGGGCACCACCGTAGAATGGTAGATCGGGATCTCCTCCAATATGCGAATTGGTTGATGTACCTAAAGGACATTAGACGATGATCGAAACAAATGGTGGTAGCGTTGGGGCTTTCGAGGGGCAGTTTGATAATTTTGACATGCATAGGCATTTTGGTAAATTTTCTTATGGCATTTTGGTAATTTTTTCCTAGAGACATTTTGGCCATTTTCAAGTAATAGCATAAGGGTATTTTGATAAGTCTTTAGTGACCATTTATTTTGTTTCTCTTACTTTTTGTTATTACTTTATTATGTTGTTTGATGATAATCATTTAATTTTAGGTGTGTTAAAAAAATATAAAAATATTTAGGTTTTAAATTTTATCTTAATATGTGGATTTTCCTTTGTTTGTGATGTCCAACCAACGAGTGTCTTATTTACTTGGGATGGATGATGATTTCAATATATTTTATCCAATAATAAAAATGCTAAAAAAAAAGAATAATAAGGGCTTTTTTTTCTTATTAGATTAATTAAAAATTTTAAGTGGACCTAGTAAGTCTCCTATTTGAATAGGAATTGTTGTTGGCCATAATAAAAAGAAAATAAAAGAAAGAGGATTAGCTAGGAAGAGTGCACCATAAAGAAACAAAAAAATAAAAACATTTAGTTCAATTTAGTAAAAGAACAAAAAAAAAATGTTTTAAGCAACCTTAACATCTTTTATCCAATAAGGATGAACGTTATTAATTCAAATCAATCATCTTAGTAATTAGATTGTTCTTCAATATACCGATTATGTCGAGACTTAAACTAGATCCGATGTTGGATTAACAAAACTTGTGGCGTTGGGGTCCGATGATTGATTCAATATGGTGTAACAAACAAAATTAAAAAAATCAATTGGCTTAGGAAATAAAACTTAAAATTTTGACTTGAGAAATAATTTGAAAAAAATAGTAATTTTTAGGAAATAAACTATAGGATTAAACTAGACATGGTATTTTTTATAGAAAGGGTGCCTTTGGGTGATCTTTGGATGATTGATATCTTTCCAAATGCATAACTAATTTCTTACCTTAGAATCTCCGAACTAGTGTCAATTTTAGGTTTTCTAATTCTTTTAATACTAGATGACGACTCTAAAAGGTAGTTTAACTCATATCCCTAGTAAATAAATATAACAAATAATTTTTAATTATAATATTTTTGGAATATTCCTAAATGTTAGGTAACGACAAATGTTTTTAATAGTATATTATAAATAGATCACAAAGGATATACACTTCAACTTACAAATGTTAACATATATAAACACTTCAAGCTAACAAATGTTAAGATAGATAAACATAACAAAATCATATTTTATTCACATGTATCGTATCATCCTATTACCTTCACTCAAGTTGAGCAAATAAACATTAACTCGTCAACTTGTCATGGAGATACCAATACCACTATCGAGAAAGAGCCTTAGTAAGAAAATCAACTATTTGGTCCTCGGTAGAGATATAATGAACTAACAAATTTTCTTTATTCACACGATCATGAACAAAATAGAAATCAATTTTCAAATGCGTGGATCGAAAGTGAAATACATGTTGCATGTCAAGTATCTTACACTCAAATTATCACACCATAAAATTAGAACCACTCGAGGTAACAAATGCAATTCACCAAGTAATAATTGTAATTAGAGCACCTCATAAGCTATAATAGATAAGGCCCTATACTCAACCCGAGTAGAGGACTTAGAAAGATTGAACAAACATCAAATAAGTTTAATAATAAAATAAAATAAACGAGCATTAGATCTAGTAGAAAATACCGCTAGATCCGAAATTATTGAATAAAAATATTGAAAAAAAGAAAAAAGAAAAATGTTATTGCAAATGGCAACAACTATAGAAAAAACTTAAAAGGCTATCAGAATTCTAGAGAGAGAGAACTTTTGCTAGTATTTATATCTGTTAAGTCTCTATAGACTGTATATTTACAATTAGATATGTTTATAGCATGAGTTCTTTCATTGGGTATTTTCTTTTTCTTTTTTTTTTTGTGTAAAAAAATAATTCATTCGTTGTTTTTTATTTTTCAAATAAGTTAAAATAAAAACCAAGAAACAACATTTACAAATATCAATATTAAAAATTATATATATAAAAAAACTGCCTCACAAAAAAAAAAGGAAAAATTTGTAATTTTAATTATTGCCTCGTACTCATGATTTGAATGATATATATGATTTAAAATTGAGAACATGCTTGCCTTAAATTGTGAACTAATTTTTTTTTTTTTTTTATCTTGTTCAAACTGAATAATAATAATAATAATAATAAAACGATTTCTTATTTATTTATTTCAAAAGAACAAATTCCGCTAGTAAAAACTTCTAACATTACTGACGATAGATACGATGTCGTTTGGCTGCATTGCGACCTATAAATAAACCCAGAATCCTCCCCAGCTTTCACTCCTTCGGAAATTCTCTTGCTTTAAGGTTAGGGTTTCTCTCAGGTCTCTCTCTCTCTCTCTCTTTCTCTCTTAAACTGCAAGAAATCTGTTTTCTTTTAGCATCAGAAAAAATGGCAACTGAACAGAAACCAGCAGCTGAGGATGTGAAGATTGACTTGTTCGAGGATGACGATGAATTTGAAGAATTTGAAATCAATGAAGGTAATAACCCTTTCCCTTTTGTTTTTTGATAATCAAAGTAATCAGAAGGAAAAAAAAGAATAAAAGCCATGCTCTATTGGATTTCTTTTTGTTGTTCCTAGTTGTCGATTTTTAGTTAGCGAAGAAAATTTGTATTAATATTAACGAATCATTCGAATTGGAAGTAACTTGGGTAGAATAATCAATGGGTTCTTATAGCTATAGTTGGAATTGATAAATAAGGCTATGGTTATGATCTTTCTCGGCATGGTGTAATGATTATGCAGATAGCTTTGCGAAAGCGATAAAATAAGTTGCTTAGGTTATCCTATTGAATGCATGGTTGTATTTCTGTTATTTGTTTGTTATGATGGATTTAATATCTTGATTATGGGTTTATTATTCTTAATATTCTGTTAATTAGCTGTTTGAGGAAACTGTTTAATTAGGAAGTTGGTTGTCGCTTGATGTTACTCATAGCACATGTTAATTTTGGAAACAACTATGAGTGTCAATAATTTGTGAGATGTGGAAGAGGTATATTAAGGTAGTTGCATATTGTATAGTAGTATATTGGATGCTAATGCAGCTGTGACTTGCATGTCGTAGTCCTACAATGAATTGAAGTAACGAGATTCTGTTACCTGTTTCTGCTCTCTGTCGGAAATGCTAGTACTTGTACAGTCTTGTTTTGTTAAAGAATATGAGATCTCAAAATAGGAGTAGTGTTATTTGTCCCTGTGTTATGAATTATTGTTTCTTTTCTGATGATAACTGTAAATGATAGAGTGGGAAGTGAAGGAGGAAGGGAAAGAGGCCATGCAGCAATGGGAGGACGATTGGGATGATGATGATGTCAATGATGACTTCTCACTGCAGCTGAGGAAGGAATTGGAGAACAACACACAGAAGAACTGAGCTGTTTCTCGAACATGTCAGTGTATTGTCTCCAATGTTAGTTTGTGTTTGATCTTGATATTGATTTCTATATCTTTAGTATGGGAGGAAAAAAAATTGCTTGAACTATCAAGATCGGAAGCTTGGAAAAAAATTCTAAGCCCCAGGGCTTAAATTCTGTGTTTGTCTGTAGTGGAAGTTTGGTCTTGTGAATTAGGGATCTGTACTTGATGAATTGCTCTTTTCAGAATGACATGTTCTGCTATTATTGTACCTATGCTTATCGATAACATAGTAGTATGTTGATACCTCCCCTTCAAGATTCCATCTCTTGACATTAGGGCACACTTCTTAGTGTTCCATTATTGTGAAATTATCAGTCACTTGGAGTTGGGAATGATGCACTTCGATTAGGGTGACATTGGTGGTGAAAATGCTAGGAATATCATGATTGGTATGGCATTCAACTTTTATTATCAGTAGTTAATGCAAAACTATTTTCCATTGCTGATCCGTATTGTTTCAGTGACCCGGTTATAGGACATTGTCTCTGGAACAAACATGAAAGAGTACGAGATGCACCTGAATAAGAAAATTATTGTGGGAAGTATCACTTTTGTCTCGCACTCATAGGGTTCAGGAGAGAGTAGTGGAATGATTAGAATTCCAAGGGAGTTTTTTTTTAGGGTTGCAAGGTTTTGTTTACAAAAGTGGTGTGGTTGCTGGGTTAAAAGATGAATCAATATAAAACCCAAGCCTTGCTAATTATAGCTAAAAATTGGTTTGCAACACATACATGACCACCTAAGGCTGACACAGGACTTGATGATTTATCCCTCACGGCTTGCTTCTTTGCTTCACACGGTTTACAGCCTTAACTTACTAATGTAGCACTGCTTGTTGGATAGAGGCACATGGTTGTGTCCTACTTGTATTCCATCTCGTGTCTTCTTTTGCTTCATCTCGTGCCCTTGACTTCTGCTCGTGGAATAGTCTTTTCATCCCGTGTCACTTCTTTCTACCTGTGTGCCTTCATTGCTTAATTCTTTGGATTACTTCACGCTTTGACACACACAAGCATATCTCTTCTTAAGTCCATGTCGAGTGAATTGCTATTGCCTGTGTGGTTTTATTATTGAACAACGACACGATTTTCTCTTTTGTTTCGCACGGCCAGTAGTTATTTCCTCTAATAACTCACATGGCCATGTGTCTCCTTAACCTCTTTCTTGGCTTTAGCTTTTCTTTACTTTGGCTTGGGTTTATTTCTTTGATTTGCTATTTTTTTTTTTAACAAAACCCGAAATCGTTATTTAGATCTTAATTTCCTAAATATAACACAACAAGTATCAGACAGTTAAATGTAAAAGAGTATAAAAGACATGCAAATTATCCATTTATCAATAGATAATCTTCAATCTGCATCTTCTAGATCTCAAAATCTTTGTCATCGAATTTGTCAATCCTAGCTTTAATTTCCTTTTTCTGCAATCATTCTTCCTTACCTTGCAAATACAAAGCTCTGACACCAATTATTAGTAAACAAATCAAGCAAGAAAATAGAGTAGAAAGATACAATAATCAAACAATATAAAGATTTGTGGTTCGATAATTGTGCTTACTTCATGGTTACATTAGGGTTTCTTATTAGGATTTTATCAAGTGATGACTATAAATACAAGTACTATTGTCTTTATTTGTAATGTAAACAACTCGGGTTGTAATAAATAAGGCTTAATGGGCCTATACACTTGGTTCAATATTATGTAGACATTTTAGAGGCTCCGCCTCAATCTCCCACAAAGGACCTACTCCCTTGACCCTCACTCGCTAATCTAATCGAAACAAGATTGCTATATACGTAGCATCTTGAACTACAAGTTCTATCCGCATCGGTCTCCATAACTTAACAAATCCTTAAAAAAAAAAATAATAAATAAAAGGGATGAAACTCAAAATAACAATGGTTATCTTTAGCAAATTATTGTATAGATTATAATTTTCTTATGATACTAGGAACCTACAGTATATGATTAAGTTAAACTTCTTTTATTGTGCATAAAGTGTATATAGAATCAATACCATTTCCAATCAACTTATTCGAGCCTTTGGATTCTCATGCAAGGAGGAGATTGCTTAAATTTGAGGTGATATGATTTGTGGCAGAATTGTCAGGATGCCTAGTAGCAGCAGAGTAGACTTACATGTTGGTATTCGACTGGCTTTGAAAGTCAGAATAGTGGGCAGCTGGTGGATTTGGGAGCAATGGAGCTAAATTGTATGCAGAAGTGGTGTAAGGATCTAGTATGCTTTAGTTCATACCATTGTCTACAGTTTGCAGCCTTGTGGTTATGCCAACTATAAATTTGACAAGGATCCCTCTTCCTATTGAACTAGTTGTTACTAATATTAATTTCCAAATATTCTAAAAAATAAAAAAATCTATTTTTTTTTTTTTGCGATTTTTAGTTATTTAAAAATGTTCATGATTTTAAAACATGTTGGCATTTTTCTTTAAGTTTAAGAAAAGTAGTTGAATTGTTTTTTTTTTTAAAGCCAGAAAAAAATTGGACAAAGCTGAAAAAAAATAAAATAAAATAAATGGGGAAAAAATTGAAAAAAAAAGAAGCCAAAATAAAAAAATCAAGACAAAGTTGAAAGAAATTAGTAAGAAAGAGGACAAAAAAGTCAAAAAAGAAAAAAAAATCTGAAATAAAAATTGACACAAAACTGAAAGAAAACAACCAGAAACAGAAAGGATAAAAAGTCAATATATATATATATATATATATATATATATATATATATCGGAATGGAGCTGTGTATTTCACCTTTTGGTGGGTGAATACTATTCTTGTGATTGTAGCTGAACTAAACTTTTTGGCATTCTTTGAGAGAGAGTGTGTGAGAGAGAGACAGAGATAGAAACAAGACCTCAAACATCTAATATATTAAATCCAAAGAAAATTTACTTAAATTATTTGTGCTAATAAGATAATTCCTAGAAACCTATACCAAAAGAGAAGAAGTATATTTATTTTCCAAAAAAAAAAAAAAAAAAAGAAGAAGAAGAATAAGACAAATTGAAATTTTTTTGCAATTTAGACCATTTTATCTTTGTCCCAGGTCTGTAGATGATTGTTTTCAAGGCTTAATCGCGTATTAGTTTTTCTATGCATCACGCTTCCATCCTGCGTTATTAAATCTGACAAATTAACTACTTCTCTTATTCTCATATCTCTACGTAATATGATTTGGACCCATCCAAACCAAGTCATGCATGGACATCCAAATTGTGATTAAAACCAATAATTCCAACACAAAATTCAAATTTAAGTTCAAAACAGAAACATCTCCTTTGATAATGCTTTCAAAGATCAACAGTTAAGGTATGATTTTCTTTCGATTATCCCAACAAATTGGATCATTCGATCAGTTTTAACACTTAATAAAGAGATACACTCAAAATATTTAATGACACAAAAAGAGAGAATAGTTCATCGGAAAACATTTCTTAGGCAAGATAATGAAAAGTAAAATTCTTATAAATATTGCAAGTAGTTCCATCATGCATGACTTTCCTTCAGCTAATTAATTTGGCCGTAAAGAAAAGAAAAAGAAAAAATGGTGTTAATTGGGATCATCTACCTGCTAATTGTTATACTGAGTCAACAAGTACTAGCAGCAATTTTTCATACTTACAAATATGCCCAGAAGCGTCCTCCGCTCTGCTAATTTTTTATAGTTTAGCCACTCCAATTATCCTGTATTATAAGTAATTACTCAATCATATTTTTATATCAAATTAAGTGTTACTTGGCTTCTTGTATTAAAATAATTTATTTAACGTGAATGAGTCTTTCGATAGTGATATGAATAACGACGTTAAACTAATTGCATAATCAGCTTCTTTAAACATTGATTCAATCAAGTTTTTTATTATGATTACTTAAAAAGCATTTATGCATATTATAAATTTTTTTTTAAAAAAAAACTTTTTTTTGAAAAATTTACCGCATCAGCTTTAGTTTTTTTTATTATTGTTATTTATCATATAATTTCTGTAAATGTTTCAAGTAATAAAAAATTAGAAAGAAGAAAACTAATGAGGTCAGTAGTCAGAATATTTGTCACTAATAAGTAACTTACATTTAATAAATTGATTCAGAATAAGGATGTGATAAGTAGTACAGCAATAATGCGAATGCTTAACCCTTTTTTTATTATAAAAGAAATCCTAAAACCCTGTTTGCTCGTCTCTCTAGAAGGTAAATACCCAACGCCACCAAGGACCGACTACTGCTTACAATTTCTGTTGAATTTAGTAAATAGAGTTGCAGAAATTCGGAGAGCTAGTTATTCTTAAAGTGATCATTGATAGGAATTTTGATTTTAACTCTTAAATTTAACTTTGCATCTTTCATAACTAATATACTGTTAAAGTAGGGATGGCAACGGGTGAGATGAGGATGGGGACAGGGATCGCCATCCCTGTTCTCAGCCCAGCCCTTAAAAATTTTTTCCCATCCTCATCCGTGTCCTGAACAGGACAAAATTTTTCATATTATTTCTATCTCAAACGGCGGTAGGAATCTTTACAGGACAAACAGGACGTAAACGAAATAAAAATTATTATTTTTTTTTCATATCGTCTTATCCCATTTTATTACTAAATTTTAAACTATAGTAAAAAAAAATGATAATTTATATTGAAAATAAACCGTAAAAGTCACTAATCATAAATTTTATATGGGATATAATCATAATTTTAATGAAAAAAGAACAAACGGGGCGGGTTAGGCAAATTCCATCCCCACCCCGCTCCGTTCCTCAATCAACACGATGAATCCTTGCATTGATCGAGGAAAATTAGGACGGAGTGGGACGGAGCTCCGTCGGGACGAGACAAATTGTCTTCCCTATGTTAAAATGCTAGTAAAATACTAATTTGTTGCTTTTCAAAAGCCATATCTTTTAATTTCATCCATTTGCTTTTCTCCTTCAATTTAAATTTCCTACAAATCTTGTAATTGAAAATCTTTACAAAAAGTTTACTTGTAAAGTGTTTTTTTCTTTCTTTCCTTTCGGATACGAAATAAACATTCCACTTAAAAATACTTTATTTACTATATTTAACTTATTCTCTATCCGGTTAACGTTTTTCCAACAATTTCTTGGTGTCCCGTTTCCAAATTCCAACAGACTTCATCATATTCCTCATACTCCATCGCATACGAATAATACAAGTAATTTAGGAACTTTGCATAGTTTTGAATAGCAATTTATGCCGTGGTTCAAAGAAAGTAAAGGACAAGAAAACGGAGACATCATCCAAGATGTAAGCCCGACAACATGAGACACAGTTGGTGAAATGTCTGAAGTACATCAAATTTTGTAACCAAATGAAAAATAGAAGTACATCAAAGGATTAAGCATTTAACATGCATGAATTTCTTCAAAAAGGTAGTGCTTAGCTACACATACTTATTTCAGCCTTGTCTACCTCTTCGTGATCATGAATTTGCTGATGAGTCCAATGGCCCCATCGAAAAGTAAAAGGCGATCACCAGAAGGAAAAAAAGAAAAATTCAACGAAGAAGAAGAAGGTAACATCATGACAGTTGCACCCACCACGTCCTTAAATCGACTAAACGGCCAATGAATTCCAGATGACTCAAAAGTCTTGATAACGTCCAATCAAATGGAACTTGCAAGGTCCACTCTTTTCTTTTCTTTTCTTTTTCTTTTTTTCCTTCTTCAGTGGGGGCAGCTATCAAATAAAGTTTTACTAGTATTTTCTTTCTGTTCTTTGTGGAAGGGGAGCCATAGAAATTATAGCCCTTAAACTCCATCACTCTACTGGTTTTCATGGATTTCTCTTCTAATCTATTAGCAATATCGCCGGTTTTAGCATTAGTTCTGTGGTACACTTTATGCAGAGTAAGAGAGTATAGGTACAAAACTGAAAAGGGTTTGCAGGTCCCTGAACCATCTGGTGCCTTGCCACTTATAGGCCATCTTCATCTACTAGGGGGCCAAAAGACGCTTGCTCGAACATTGGGTGCCATGGCAGATAAATATGGTCCCATCTTCACAATTCGAATGGGAAAGCACCGTATAGTTGTGGTTACCGATCCTGAGGCAGTCAAGGAGTGCTTCACAACAAATGATAGGATTTTATCGTCGAGGCCAAGATCAAGTCACGGAGAGTACCTAAGCTACAATTATGCGGCATTTGGTTTCGCAAATTCTGGTCCTTTTTGGCGTGAAATGCGTAAGATAGCTGCGATCCAACTCCTTTCCAGCCATAGGCTCAAGTCGTTGAGGCATGTTCAGGTCTCAGAGGTGAATACCTTGATCAAGGACATGTACTTGCTTGGTAAGAGCAATAAGCAAGTCTCCTCCAAGATAGTGATTAGTGAATGTTTTGAGCGAATGACAATAAATATGATCACAAGAATGATCGCGGGGAAGAGATATTTCAGTAGTGCTAAAACTGAAAATGAAGAAGAAGGGAAGCGTATTGGAAAACTCATGAAGGAGTTCATGTATATTTCCGGTGTCTTTGTCCCTTCAGATTTAATTCCTTTTCTAGGATGGATGAACAAGTTTCTTGGATCAGTGAAAACTATGAAGCGTCTTTCGAGGGAACTGGATTCCCTTATGGAAAGTTGGATTCAAGAACATAAATTGAAGAGGCATGAGAGTATTGATGGCTCCAACAAAACGGAAGACTTCATAGACGTGATGCTATCCTTACTGGATAATAACATGTTTGGCTATTCCCGTGAAACAATTATAAAGGCAACAGCAATGGTATGTTCTCTAGTGTATGTTTGCGTTCAGGTTACAGCTACCAGTTGAATTTTTTATTTATTCGATGTCTCTGCAACGTTGCTAGGAAATTCATATAGCATGATTTCTTCAAATTACGGTCTCTTAGGTTCATTCGCTTTCGTCGAACAAACATTAATAATCTCTTAGAGAATCTCTGGATAATTGACCAATTTGTGGGTTAGCTGGTGGAATCTCTATTATTGATGGTAAAATTAGAATATGAAACCGATTCTCTTTTGAGATCATTGTTAGAAATTGTAAGGATTTACAGCTACTTCGTGAGAAACCTTTGAACTGAATTTGGGTATAGAAAACCATTTCCCTGTCCCATAAAAATTGTTCTCCATTAATAGTGATGAAGTAAAACTTGATTTTGAAATTGGTAAATTCCATTTTGTCTGTCCAGGACCAGGCCAGTGTTTCCTGTGCATGTGAAAATTAAACCTAGCCGCAAATTGCATCACTATTCTGTTTTCAAAACATGATTGATTCTCATGATGCTTTTGAATTTTTATGATGTAGACTCTGATCATAGCAGGTGCCGAAACCACATCTATCGCTTTGACATGGATCTTATCCAATTTGTTGAACAACAGACGCTCATTGCAGCTTGCCCAAGAAGAGCTAGACCTCAAAGTTGGCAGGGAAAGATGGGTGGAGGACTCTGATATTGGGAACTTAGTGTACATCCAGGCCATTATTAAAGAGACGCTGCGCTTGTACCCACCAGGTCCCTTGTCAGTTCCACATGAGGCAACAGAAGATTGTTGCATTGCCGGATATCACGTACCAAAGGGCACTCGTTTGTTTGTGAATCTATGGAAGCTGCATCGGGACCCAAATACGTGGTCTAATCCTGATGAATATTTGCCAGAAAGATTTCTCACAGAACAAGCAAATGTAGATGTTTTAGGTCAACATTTTGAGTTGATTCCATTTGGCTCCGGGAGACGGTCTTGTCCAGGTATCACATTTGCATTGCAAGCGATGCACTTGACGCTTGCCAGGTTGCTTCAGGGTTTTGACATGAAAACACCTACTGATGGACCAGTGGACATGACTGAAGGATTAGCTATAACCTTACCTAAGGCCACTCCGTTGGAAATTCACGTCATCCCACGCCTCTCGCCTGAACTCTACGAGTGCTAAATGGTAAAACTAAGACAAAAGGACATACTAGTTGTTTGTGTATTTATATGTTCATTATTTGGATTATCGTCATCAATAGAACTATAGTTTATAGAATCTTCAAATTTCTTGATGAAAAATAATGAGGCCTGCAGAACAAAACGAAATTTAAGGCCATTAAAGCAACTTACATACCAGACAACAATGGGCTATATGAAAAATCACAGCCATAGACATCCTAAGCTAGCATGGCAAAGAAGTGCGCCAAATTAGGGGAAACCGAGAGATATAAATTAGAAGCACAGCAATAAAAATTGTATCTGGCTTAGCAAATAATTGCTGCAAGTTAGGGGAACTAGGAGCAGGAACACAATCAGAAATTAAACCAACTTAAATGGAATACACAGATTGCTTAATATCTACAACGAATAATCCATGACAAAACAACTGCGCTTATGATTTTGATGCAGAAACAGTCCACATCACATCCATCAAATTCTGTATGAATCAAGCATCAATTCTAATGTTTGAGACAGAGCTTAAGGAAAAATGAGGCCAGAACGAACAAGGTAATAACGATAGAGAAGAAGATGGACACAAAAACTAATGTTCACAATGATGAAATCATACTTTGATGTCTTGAAGAAAGAGTCGAAATTCATATCTTTTTCATTGTATTATTCTCTTCGCTAGTGATTAATGATCATCGCTAGTGATGTTCGAAAAATTCAATGGCATCCTTCTCGTCTAACTTTTTTTTTTTAATTGACTAATTATCATCTTGTAGCTAGTAATTTTCATTTTTAAAAAAATTAATATAATTTAAGCATATATCTAAATTTTAGATTTTTATAATGTTCAAAACTTGTTCGATTAATAATTATTCATAACACTAGAATAGTGTTGTCTATTAAGAAGTCACAGAAAAACAAATTTAAATGAGTAATTTTGAAGGAATAAAATCGGTTAGAAAAAAAAAACAAAGAGAGAATGAAAAGATAGGAGGTAGAAACAATAAAAATTTATTTTTTAAAAAATAATAAATAAAAAGTAATGAATTTGAACTTTATCCCGCATTTTAAATTGAATACCTCATTAAGGGGTAAATTGAGAAAATAAAATAAAATAATGTAAATTATAAACTAGACAATACTATTCTAGGGTTATTTAGAATCGAGGCTGTTTTGATTTAATTATTAATTAAGTTTTGAACATGATAAAAATCTAAAATTTAGATGCCTGAAAATCACTAGCGAAAAGATGCCAATCATGCTTAAATTAAGAAAAAAATAAAATATGATGAAAACGATGCCTATATTGAATTGTTTAGTATTTTATTAAAATCACTAGCAATTATGGTTAATCACTAGCGATAACATTAATATAATAAGAAAAAATGGATTTGGACTCTATCTCCATTTCTCCTTCACTGCCAAACCACCATCGCCGTTCATCTTCCCTTCGCTGCCAAAACACCATTGTTGTTTGTCTCCCCTTCATTATTGTTACTACACACACTACAATAAAAACAGAGTTTAATGACGGAATATTCTGTTGCTAAACACTCCTATTTCGTCACTATTCGTGAATAGCAACGGAAAATATTTCGTCGTTATTTCGTTTGTCGTTAATTTTTTATAACGAAATACTCAATCCGTCGCTAAACCAAAAATCCGTCGCTAATCTTCTCGCCGGATCGGTCATTTTGTTTGTAGCTAATTCGTCGCTAATTTTGAAAATAAATCCATCGCTAATCAATCCGTTGCTATTTCATCGCTATATTTTCAAAAAAATAAATATTTTTTCATTTTATTTTAGTTTTTTTTAAAATTATTAATATTGCATTTAATATTTAATGATGTAATAGTTAACAATTAAAAGTAATAACATATAGATTGAAAATGAATTAATTTTAACAATAACATTTAGTAGTACATTCGGTAAAATAAAACAAAGTCACTAAATGTTTGTTTTATCACTCATCTTGCTTGTCTAATCCCATGTCCTTATTCCGATACTATGTGGAGGGCTCGACGGGAGGATCGGGTGAAGGCCGAATAGGAGGTCGTGTGGAAGGAACGATAGATTGTTGAATAGTCGACCGATCTATAGACAACCAATAAATAAAAAATTTCTTAAGAAATAATCAACAAAATTTAACTAAAGTACATTCAAAATTATATAATTTCAAAATTAACTTAAAACAAACAACTAACAAAATTCACCTAATAATTAACACAATTAATTAATTAAAAATAAAAATTAAAGATTAAATAATTAAATTTTAATCTAAAAATTAAAAATAAATAAATTAAAAATAAATAAATCTGAACTAAATTACTTAAAAAATTACATTAATAAAATTAAACCTAAAAAATTAACATAATTAAAAAATTTTAGGTTAAAATTAACATAAATATAACCTAAAACTTAACACAATTAAACAATAACACTTAAAAAAAATTATCTAACAATTAAGAAAATTAAATAAACAATTAACAAATTTAAACTAATAATTAACAAATAAATTAACATAATAATAAAATTAACAACATTCAAACTATTAATCAACTAACAAATAAAAAAATTAACCTAAAAGTTTATAACATTCATTTAATTTTTTTTTAAAAAAAAACAAAAGAGTTAGAGAGAGAAAGTTTTACCAAAGAGATCAAGGAGAGAGAGCGAGAGATTTCATTGGATTTTGAGGAAGAAAGATGCACCTCACTAAGTTGAATGGTTTGGGAAGTCGGTTGGTGGCGAGGGCGTCGTGGGTGGTGGTTTTCCGGTCGACGGTGGATTTTTGGGTGGAGGAAAGAGGGGATCGAATGGAAAAGAAGAAGAGAAACTGTGTGTTTATAGGCTCGGAGATTAGCGACGGACATGATTCCGTCGCTAATTAGCGAATAAATCGCCAATCCATCGTTAATTTGAATCGTGTGGATGAAAACATTTTCATCCAAAATTAGCAACAGAATCACCAATTCATCGCTAATTAGAGACTTATTGACGATTCCATTGCTAATTTGAACCATGTGGGTGGGAAACCTTTCACCCAAAATTAGCAACGGAATTGCCAATCCATCGCTAATTAGCAGAGAATCACAAATCTGTTGCTAATTTGAACCATGTAGGTGGGAAAATTTTCACCCAAAATTTCAAAATAGTGACGGATTTCAATCCATCGCTAATTTGAACCACGTGGGTGGGAAAATTTTCACCCAAAATTAGCGACGGAATCATCAATCTGTCACTAACTAGTGAAGAAATCGTCAATCCGTCGCTAATTAGCGATAGAATCGTCAATCCGTTGCCAATTAGCGATGAAATCGTAAATCCGTCGCTAATTTGAACATTGTGGGTGGAAATTTCTACCCAAAATTTCAAAATAGCGACCATCGCTAATTAGGAACGGAATCGCCAATCCGTCAACTTTTTGGGGGAAATTTCCCCTAAAATCCCAAAGTTAGTGACGGATTCCAAAATCCGTCTCTATCTTCACTAAATTATAGGAATTTTAGCGACGAAAAAAATTTCGTTGCTAATTTTTTCATTTAGTGACCACATGGCCGTCGCTAATTTTAGCATTTTTTCCCCACCTTATTTAGCGACGAATTTTTAACCGTCGCTAAGTATCCCTCGTTAGTCTATCGCTAATCCATCGCAAAATGTAACCTTTTATAATCCGTCGCTAATTTGTTGCTAATGTATCGCTAAATAGCGACGGATTAAATGTCGTCGCTAATTGGTATTTTTCTAGTAGTGACATATTCTATTATCTTCTACTCCAAAAAGCAATGATGTTAAAAATATAGATGCAAATATCAAATTAAAGGAAAATAACCTTCAGAATGAACCCAAGAGTGCAAAAGAAAGCATAACCACAAAAAACACAAACAAGAACAATGTAAATAACCCTAGTCCGAGTTGACAATGCTCGGTTTTCTAAAAGACACTAAAAGAAGAATTGAGAGTTGTTTTGATATTCACACGGATGGATTAGAACTCGAAACTCATATCAACAAGCTTAGCAAAGAAATTGATGACTTAAAAGTTGCTAAATTGCCCGAAAGAAGATTTGTCTAACCAATAATAGCATCCATGTGTTATTTTTTATTTTAAATCTATAAATGATAATTTAAAGACTTAGAGCCCAATGGATTCTAGTGGTGGGCTAGGCACATCCATGATGGATGGAAATGTAAAGAAATGGTTCCTAGTCTAGTCATATAAATATTAACTAAAGCATGAGTTCTTCATTAACACACAAAACCCTAAAATTTGCAACCAAATTCAAATGTGATCGACTTTGAAGTGCTAAGATTAGCTAGATGGCACAATGTGAATAGTTCAACCCTTTGAAATGTAAGATTGGCCTTAGATCCGAAGGAAGTTTTCGAGTGGCTCCCTTATGCGATAGGTATGGGGAGTTTGTGTTACAAAATATATGGTGATGAAGAGAAGTGGGTGCGTGTTGATGTTGAATTGAATAGAGAATTCGAGTTCTTTACACGATGCTTGAACATATATGAATTAGTTGGAATGGGGTGTATAGAACAGATCGCCCATATCAAATGGCTATGAAGTTTGGTATAGATCAAATCCGCGAGTCTTGTAGAGAGAAACAAGTAAAACTCAAGAACTTGCGGGGAAGAGTTTTGATAAGCAAGTCAAGAATACGAGTGTTATATATTCCATCAAGACTTCATAAGTCGGATGTTATTGTAAGATACTTGGAATGGTGGAAGCAATCGGTGCACGATGGGAAAGATGGAAGTGGAAGTCTAAAATGTTTAGACATTATGGGTTCGAGTTTCAAAGGGAAGAATTTATATCATTATCCTCTTTATCCACCTGGTTTTAATCCAAAATGTCAACATATTGAAGTACTTGACTTTGATGAGGAGGATGATCTAACATTGAAGGAGTTCTTTATTCATAATAACAAGCTCAAAATTGTTGATCATAGAATAGATGGTAATGGCAAGTCTTTGTCGGCTACTACACATAGTCTACTATCTTCTACTATAGAAAGCAATGATGTTAAAAATATAAATTCATAGATCAATTAGAGAAAAACGACTTTCGAAAGAACCTATAAGTGTAAAAGAAACCATAACCATGAAAAGCATAAGCACAAAGAATGCGATCCAATTCATAATGCTGGTTTTCTAAAAGGCACTAAAAGAGGAATTGAGAGTTGTTTTGAAATTCACACGGATGGATTAAAACTCGAACCTTGTATCAACAAGCTTAGGAAAGAAATTGATGACTTAAAAGCTGCTAAATTGCTCGAAAAAGATTTGTCTAGCCAATAATAACACCTATGTGTTATATTTTATTTTAAATCTATAAATGATAATTTAAAGACTTAAAACCCAATAGACTCTAGTGGTGGGCTAGGCACATCCATGATGGATGGAAATGCAAAGAAATGGTTTCTACTCGAGCCATATAAATATTAAGAAAAGTATGTGTTCTTCATTAATACATAAAACCCTAAAATTTGAAACCAAATCCAAATGCGACTAATATTGAAGTGCCAAAATTAGTAGATGGTTCAATATGAATATTTCAACCCTTCAAAATGTAAGATTGGCCATAAATTTTGAATAAAGTTTTTAATGGCACCCTTATCCAACGAGATATGAGGAGTTTGTGTTATAAAATTTATGGTGATGAAGAGAAGTAAATATGTGTTGATGTTGAGTTGAATGAAGAATTCGAATTCTTTGCACGATGCTTGAATGTATGTGAATTTATTGGAATACGGTGAGTAAAACAAGCATCGCTCACATCCAATGGTTATGTAATTTGACATAGATTAAGATCTCGTCATGTCTTGTAGAGAGAAGCAATAAAACTCAAGAACTTATGTGGAAGAGTTTTGATAAGCAAATCAAGAATACAATGTTATATATTCCATCAAGACTTCATAAGCCGGATGTTACCTGTAAGATACTTAGAATGGTGGAAGAATCGGTGTATGGTAGGAAGGATGGAAGCGAAGTCTAAAATGTTTAGACATTTTGGGTCCACGTTTCAAAAGAAAGAATTTAGATCATTATCCTCTTTATCCACTCGGTTTCAATCCAAAATGTCAACATATTGAAGTACTTGACTCGATGAAGAGGATGATCTAATATTGAAGGAGTTCTTGATTCATAATAACAAGCTCGAAAATTATTGATCATGGAATAGATTATGTGGTAAGTCTTTATTGACTATTGTACATAATCTGTTAACTTCGCTATAGAAATTAATGATGTTAAAAATGTAATCGTAGCACAAATTGAAAAAAAATAGCTTTCAAAATGAATCTAAGAGTGCAAAAGAAAGCACAACCATAGAAAACACAAGCAAGAACAATGTAGATAGCCTTAGTCCAATTGACAATGAAGGTTTTCTACAAGAAACAACAAGAGAAATTGAGGGTTGTTTTGATAATCACATAGATGCATTAGAACATGAAGTTCGTATCAATAAGCTTAGGAAAGAAATTGATGGCTTAAAAGCTACTAAATTGCTCGAAAAAAGATTTGTCCGGCCAATAATATCATCCATGTGTTATATTTTATTTTAAATCTATAAATGATAATTTAAAGACTTAGAGCCCAATGGACTCTAGTGGTAGGCTAGACACATCCATGATGGATGGAAATGCAAAAAAATGGCTTCTAGTCTAGCCATATAAATATTAAGTAAAGCATGTATTCTTCATTAACACATAAAACCCTAAAATTTGTAACTAAATCCTAAAGTGACTGACTTTGAAGTGCCAAGATTAGCTAGATGGCACAATGTGAATAGTTCAACCCTTCGAAATGTAAGATTGGCCTTAGATTCTGAAGGAAGTTTCTAATGGAACACTTTTCAATAGTTATAAGGAGTTTGTGTTATAAAATTTATTATGATGAAGAGAAGTGGGTGCTTGTTGATGTTAAGTTGAATAAAGAATTTGAGTTCCTTGCATGATGTTTGAACGCATGTGAATTAGTTTGAATAAGGTGTATAAAATAGTACTACCCACGTCTAGGGGCTATGCGATTTGGTCTAGATCAAGATCTCGTCGAGTCTTGTAGAGAGAAGCGATAAAACTCAAGAACAATGAAAGATTTTTGATAAGTAAATCAAGAATACAATGTTATATATTCCATCAAGACTTCATTAGCTAGATGTTACTTTAAGCTACTTGGAATGGTTGAAGCAATTAATGCACGATGGAAAAGATGAAAGTGGAAGTCTTAAATGTTTAAACATTCCGAGTTCAAGTTTTAAAAGAAAGAATTTAGATTATTATCCTCTTTATTCATCCGGTTTCAATCCAAAATGTTAACATATTGAAGTACTTGACTACGATGAGGAGGATGATCTAACATTAAAGGAATTCTTAATTCATAATAACAAGCTCAAAATTGTTGATCATGGAATAGATGGTGATGACAAGTCTTTGTCGGCTACTACACATAGTGTATAATCTTTTACTGCAGAAAGCAATGATGTTAAAAATATAAATACAAAGATCAAATTAAAAGAAAACAGCTCTCGAATGAACCCATGAGTGCAAAAGAAAACACAACCATGAAAAGCCCAAGTAAAAACAATGTAGATTGCCTTAGTCCAATTGACAATGTTGGTTTTCTAAACGATACTAAAAGAGGATTTGAGGGTTATTTTGATACTAAGCACGGATGGATTAGAACTCGAAGCTCGTATCAACAAGCTTAGGAAAGAAATTGATGACTTAAAAGCTCGTTAAATTGCTCGAAAGAAGATTTATCTACCTAACAATAGCATCTATGTGTTATATTTTATTTTAAATCTATAAATGATAATTTGAAGACTTAGAGCCCAATGGACTCTAGTGGTGAGCTAGAGCACATCCATGATGGATGGAAATGGAAAGAAATGATTTCTAGTCTAACCATATAAATATTAAGTAAATCATGTGCTCTTCATTAACACATAAAATCCTAAAATTTGTAACTAAATCCTAAAGTAACTAACTTTTAAGTGCCAAGATTAATTAGATGTCACAATGTGTATAGTTCAACCCTTCGAAATGTAAGATTGGCCTTAGATTTTGAAGGAAGTTTCTAGAAGCACCCTTATGCAACAACTTGTGGAGAGTTTGTATTACAAAATTTATGGTCACGAAGAGAAGTGCGTGCTTGTTGATCTTGAGTTGAATGAAGAATTTGATTTCTTTACATGATGCTTAAACATATGTGAATTAATTTGAATAGGGTTTACGGAATAGTACTACTGCATTGAGTGGCTATGTAGTTTAGTATAGATCAAGATCTATAAGATCTTGTAAAGAGAAGCAGTAAAACTCAAGAACTAGCACAAAAGAGTTTTGATAAGAAAATCAAGAATATAATGCTATATATTCCATCAAGACCTCATATGCCAGATGTTATTGTAAGATGCTTGGAATGGTTGAAGCAACGAGTACACGGTAGAAAAGATGGAAATGGAAGTCTTAAATGTTTAGACATTTCGAGTTCGAGTTTCAAAGGGAAGAATTTAGATCATTATCCTCTTTATCCACTCGGTTTCAATCTAAAATTTTAACTTATTGAAGTACTTGACTCGATGAGGAAGATGATCTAACATTGAATCGGTTCTTGATTATTAATAACAAGCTCAAAATTATTGATCATGGAATAGATGATGATGGCAAGTCTTTATCGATTACTGTAGATGGTGTATTATCTTCTGCTGTAAAAAGTAATGATGTTAAAAATGTAAATGCACGGATCAAATTAAAGAAAAAAAACTTTCGGAATAAACCCAAGAGTGTAAAAGAAAGCATAACCACGAAAAACACAAGCAAAAACAATATAGATTACCCTAGTCCAATTGACAATGCTAGTTTTCTAAAAGACATTAAAAGAGGAATTGAGGGTTTTGTGATATTCGCACGGATGGATTAGAACTCGAAGCTTATATCAACAAGCTTAAGAAAGAAATTGATGACTTAACAATTGCTAAATTACCCAAAAGAAGATTTATCTACCCAACAATAGCATCCATGTGTTATATTTTATTTTAAATCTATAAATGATAATTTGAAGACTTAAAGCCCAATGGACTCTAGTGGTGGGCTAGGCACATCCATGATGGATGAAAATGAAAAAAAAATGATTCATAATCTAACCATATAAATATTAAGTAAAGAATGTGTTCTTCATTAACACATAAAACCCTAAAATTTACAACTAAATCCTAATGTGAATGACTTGCAAGTGCCAAGATTAGCTAGATGGCACAATGTGAATAGTTTAACCCTTCGGAATGTAAGATTGGCCCAAGATTCTGAAGAAAGTTTCAACCGGTGCCCTTATGCAACGACTATAGGATGTTTGTGTTATAAAATTTTTAGTGACGAAGAGAAGTGAGTGCATACCGATGTTGAGTTAAATGAAGAATTTGAGTTCTTCGCACGATGCTTGAACGTATGTGGATTAATGAAAATAGGGTGAGTAGAACAGATCTTGCCTATATCGAGTGGCTATCCAATTTGGTATAGATTAAGATCCTGCTAGGTCATACGAGAGAAAAGCGATGAAAGCCGAAAAACTTACGTGGAAGAGTTTTAAAAAGCAAATTAAGAATACAATACTATATATTCCATCAAGACTTCATAAGCCGGATGTTGCTATAAGATGTTTGGAATGGTGGAAGCAATCAATGCATTATGGGAAAGATGAAAGTGAAAGTCTAAAATGTTTAGATATTCCGAGTTCAAGTTTCAAAGGAAGAATTTAGATCATTATCCTCTTTATCCACCTGTTTTCAATTTAAAATATCAACATATTAAAGTACTTGACTCGATATGAAGGATGATCTAACATTGAAGGAGTTCTTGATTCATAATAACAAGCTTAAAATTGTTGATCATGGAATAGATGATCATGATAAGTCTTTGTCAGCTACTACACATGATCTATTATCTTTTGTTATAGAAAGCAATGATGTTAAAAATGTAAATGCGAGAGATCAAATTAATGAAAAAAAACTTTCGGAATAAACCCATTAGTGCAAAAGAAATGACAACCACGAAAAACGCAAGCAAAAACAATGTCGATATTCCTAGTCCAATTCACAATACTCGGTTTTCTAAAAGACACTAAAAGAGAAATTTGGAGTTGTTTTGATATTCACATAGATGGATTAGAACTCGAAGCTCGTATCAACAAGTTTAGGAAAGAAATTAATGACTTAAAAGTTGTTAAATTACTCGAAAAAGATTTGTCTAGCCAACAATAGCACCCATGTGTTGTATTTTATTTTAAATCTATAAATAATAATTTATAGACTTAGAGCCCAATGGACTCTAGTCGTGGGCTAGGTACATCCATAATGGATGAAAATGCAAAGAAACGATTCTTAGTATAGGCATATAAATATTAAGTAAAGCATGTGTTCTTCATTAACATACAAAACCCTAAAATTTACAACCAAATCTTAATCCGATTATCTTTGAAGTGCCAAGATTAGTTAGATGCCATAATCGAAATAATTCAAACCTTCGAAATGTAAGATTGGCCCAAGATTCCGAAGGAAGTTTCTAGTGACGCCCTTATGCAACCATCGTGGGCGGTTTGTGTTATAAAACTTATGGTGATGAAGAGAAGTGGGTGGGTATTGATATTGAGTTGAATGAAGATTTCATGTTCTTTACACAATGCTTGAATGCATATGAGTTAGTTGGAATAGGGTGTTAGAATATTACTTGTCGGCATCGAGTGGCTATATAGTTTGGTATAGATCAAGATTTGCCAAGTCTTGTAAAGAGAAGTAGTAAAAATCAAGAACTTGCATAGGCAAATCAAGAATACGGATATATTCCATCAAGACTTCATGAGCCGGATGTTATCGTAAGATGCTTGGAATGGTGGAAGCACATATCTAAGATGTTTAGAAATTCCAAGTTCGAGTTTCAAAGGGAAAAATTTTAAGTATTATCCTCATTATCCATCTGGTTTCAATCCAAAATGTCAACATAT